GCTACTGTCTCAATAAAGAAATTAAACAAGGTCACTACTACACTAATTGTTTTCTTACTAAAAAGGTATTAATCAACTTTTTTAGTATCTTTCTTACTACACTGATTAGTTTATGGTTTAGAGTTTTTCGGAATCCAACCAATTTAATTAACTTTTTTTCTTGTTTTCTTGACGTAATTTCTTTATACACGAGAAAAGAGAACACAATCCTAAAACACTCTTTAACTTTTTATAGGATTAGACTTATCGACACTGCATGATTCCCATATGGATGGTTCTCCTAATTTTTCCATTACTTTTTCTTTTTTTGATCAAAACTTCCATTACTTTTTCTATAGGTCGAATTTTAGAAATGTATGCAAAAAGGAGAGATTCGATTCGAATACGCACATAGAACGGACAAGGTCAATAATGGGCCCACATTTCTTTTGAAAGCCCATCTCAAGTTGGTTCATCTTTTTGTATACTTTCACTTCGCCTTTGACAAAAAAGTCATTGAAACCAGACTTTGGAACACTACTTTCCTTTGCAACATCATGATTTAAAGATTTTTTTTGTCAATTAGGATCAATCAAAGTGATAGATCTAAACTAATCTCAAAATCTACAACATTATTTCATACACCACTGAACAAGACAAAACCAGTATTCTATATCAACATAATTAATGTTCAAATATGGTTATATTAAGAACAGAGAATCAATGGAAAGGATATATTTGAAAGAACATTTAGGTGTTAATTTTATGGCTTTTAGAATAAGAGATTAATAAGTTTTATAGCTTTTGACCCAAAAAAGAATAAGAGATTAATAAGTTTTATAGTTTTGATATTGAATTGTAAGAAATTATTGTGTGATGAGATGATATATATTTTTTTTTGGGAAACAATGTTTTTAAATTTTTATCTTTAGCGATGATTTTTGGTTTTTCCCCCGGTAAAAGTGATGATTTTAGTTTTAGAATATGCACTAGATAAACCAAATTCTACCCTTAGTATTTGCAAATCCGTTAGATCGCAAGATCACACGAACTTTTAACAAAGCTCATGCTATTTTTTATAACACTATTTTACATTTAATTTATTCACATTTTTTCTAAGCACACGAATATATATATATAAGCCAAAAAATGGCAATCGAGAAATATGTCCTTAACATACAATAAAGTTTAGATTCTCATTAATTTATTTTTTTTCATGTATGTAAATCTTTTATACATGTATACGTTTTCGTTCCCAACTTTATTCTCAAAAATTGAATTTCCATTTATTGGAAAATGGATAAAAGTAGTAAATGGAAATTACGCTTGAGGAACGATTATTTAGGTGACAAGAGTGAACTAAGATCATGACAAGTGGACGGTTCATACTTTCTCACTTCACCTATAAATATGGAAGCTCCTCCTTAATTCATTTTCATTCACCAATTGATTAATATCTTCTTCAAAGGCAAATAAAAAATCTTCTTCTGTGATTCTTCTTCGAATTTTCTAGAGAAAATGTCTTGCTGTGGTGGAAACTGTGGTTGCGGATCTGGCTGCAAGTGCGTTGGATGCGCTGGGTAAATCCTCGAAATCTCTCCTCTTTTTTTTTTGTCTACAATTTTCTCGGGAAAGTCTCTGTTTCTCGGGAAAGTCTCTGTTTTCTCGAGAAAATCTGCTTCATGCATCGGTTGCTGTGTCAATACCTGAGAATTATGATGATTCTGTTGCTGTTTTCGAAAATCCGTAAATTTTGGACGAGATCTTAACAATATTTTGTCAAAATCTCTGTGTTTTAATTATTTTTCTTTAGTTTTGACACAAAATTTTTCGAATTTTTGTTTGTTTGTGCAGTTGCAAAATGTACCCAGACTTGGGATTCTCCGGCGAGACAACAACCACCGAGACATTTGTCCTCGGAGTTGCTCCGGCGATGAACTCTCAGTTTGAAGCTTCCGGTGAGACTTTCGTCGCCGAGAATGATGCATGCAAATGTGGATCTGACTGCAAGTGCAACCCTTGCACCTGTAAATGAAGAACACTACTCTTCATAAAACCCTAAGTGTCTGCAATAACCCTAATGTTATGTTAGGTTTGCTTTTAAGTGTAATAATAATTGGCTGATTTTCCGGCGAAGTTGG